CGGCTCCTGACCCGCCAGCTTCCAGCCCGGAGGTGGCCTAAGCCTGCCCCTCTCGCCCCCTCTCTCCCCCTCTCGCAGGGAAGCGCATCTGCCTAGGGGAAGCCCTGGCCCGCATGGAGCTCTTCCTCTTCTTCACCACCATCCTGCAGCGCTTCCGACTGAAGCCCCTGGTGGACCCCAAGGACATCGACCTGACACCCCAAGAGTTTGGCTTTGCCACCATCCCGCCCCTGTTCGAGCTCTCGGTCGTCCCCCGCTGAGAGAAGGGAGCCAGGCAGGCGGGCCCTGCGCTCATGCGCTCATGTGCCTTCGCACCAGCCGGACTTTCGGGGGGGGGGGGTTCAGGCCCCCTTCTCTGCGACTCTCCCGGGGCTGAGATCTCTGAGGGGCTACGTGAAGGTGCCCCTGCCAGGTGTCTGCATATATAAAGCTTTGTGGCGATGCAGGTGACCTAGATGGGTGGAGCCTTGGTTTGTTCTAAGCCGTGCGAGCAAGCATGTGTGTGTGTGTGTCCGTGTGTTGCTTGTTTCCTGGTCGTTATTGTTGTGCCGCAGCCCATAAATCTCCATAAATCTAGGTGGCCCACCTGGCATTGCTTCCAGAGAGCAAAAGCCAGAGAAACGGTGATCTGCCCTGCAGGCTGCCACAAAAAGCCACAGGATCCCCTCGGCCTCCAGCCTGTCCTGGACCAGGGGCCCCCAAATGAGACACCCAGGAAGTCCACTTACAGGGCGCACGGATGCCCCCGGTGAGTGGACTTCCTCTCGTTCAGGCCATGAGCTTCGTGGGGTGTGAAGGGCTGGGCAAGGGATCAGCAGGGATCCTTCAGCCCTGGTTCTGGGGCCAGTAGAGCCCCTGGCCTGCCTTGTCCGGGCCTTCTCCTGCTGCCTTCAAAGGGCTGGAGAAGAATGGCTACCAGGCAGCACCGGTGCACACCGAGCTACGGTCAGCTACTCGGGCCAGACTCTGGGCCAATACGGGACAGGCATCAGTGCCAGCGGGTCCAGTCGGACTGGCCAAGTGGGATCAGAAAGAGCTGCAGACTTGGGTTGCAGCCCAGAGTCCGCCAGAGAGAAAGCAGCTCACACAGACCTAAGGGAACCCCAAAGCAGCCCCACCTTGGCCAACCCAGGCTGCCTTCACGCCGAGTTCGTAGCTTACTTGCAGCGTCGTCCCCGGGTCCATCCGTTTGCTAAGACCCCCCCAAAGCCTAACCCAGCCAGTGCAGCCACGGAATCTCATCGGAATTATTTGTGCAAACGCAGCCAGGAAAAAGGAGAAAAGGAAGGAGAGGAAATTAATAATAATGATCATGATCATAATCATAATCATAAGCTGGTCTGTGGACATAATATAAATTGGGGGCAGGAGGAGGAGGGCAGGGCAAGAGAGTGAAGGGGCCAAAGGAGTCCCTGGGCCAGTCCCACCTGATGCCCTGGGCACAAATGCAGCCTTTCTGAGGTCGGGAACATAATTAGGATCAAAGCTCTCCCTCCCCATCCAGACCCTGAATGCCCTCGACAGCTGCCAATCACTTTCAGAAAACCGTGCTCAGTTGTGCATCTGAGCATCTTCTGACTTCAAACCTTTCCTGGGTCAGCCGTTGCTTTGCCGTCCCCTGAATAGGTCAGCCGGTCTGGGCTGTGGATGGGCGGGCTGAAAGCTGCACAGCCAGCAAGAGCAGTTTGAGCAAAGATGGGCCTTCAGAACCTCTGGAGATAAGCTGGGACCTCTTCGAAACACAGCCCTCACGGTGGGCATTGGGTGGCAGCAGCTGTGGTCTGCCGGGCCAGCTGAAGCCCACTTGCCAACTTCTGGGCAAGCCTAAGCACCACACTGAGGCCAGGAGGCCTGCCAGCCCCAGGGTGCTGCCAGCCTCCGAAGCTACAACTGCTCCCCTCGTGTCCTGCAGCCCCCCAGGGCTTGACCAACAGAAACACAACAGCACCTAAAGCAAGAAGAGAGAAAAGGCCTGTCGAATGCCCCGGGGCACGTTGCTTCACCTGTCGAGTTTCTACCTGAAGAAACCAGGGGAAGGTTGGTTGCACAGCATACACAGTTCAGAGGTCTCCACCCAGCACCTGTTTGGGAGATCCAGTTACATCCGGGGTCAACAGGTGGCTCAAAACTCTGGTTTGGAGCAAAGGTTGAGGAATGGACGCTTGGGACACTTTTGCAGGTGGAGGGTGGCTATTTTAAAAAGAGCCTTGGCTGTGACCCACTGAGCAGCCCCCGGCCCCCTTTAGACCGTCTCTGGGTGCCCCTCTTGGCACAGGCTGCCCTGCGAAGGGAGAGAGGCTGAGGTAAGCCGTCACCTGGTTAAGCCTCTTTCTCCGCTCACAAGGGGAGCTGTGGGAAGGGCTCGAGTTTCCCTGCCCTCCTGGGCTTTCTCACGGGGCTCATCGCCGCTTCGGCCGGCCCTTTGTTTGCCAGGGCTGCTCTGCACGCTTGCAGGCTCCTTTGGGCCGGGCCGGGCGGCTGCTTGGCTTGCTTCCCGAGGAACCGTGACCGAAATGAGCATCGGGTTTACAGGAGACATTGTGAGAGGGAGTGTTGTGTAAGCCCTTTCACAAACAAGTGGAATTTCACAGGGCAAGAGCACATCCAGAGGGCAAGGCTTGGGCAAGGCGGGCAGCAGAACCCGAAAGGTGGCATTGCAGGGAGGGAAGGGGATATCAAGGAGGCGGCTCCCTTGCCTCCTGGCACGAGTGAATTGCCAGCAGGGCAAAGGGGAGGTTTGTGGCTTCCGGGGCCCTCAGCAGGAAGGGGGCCACAGGGCCGGCTGGGAGGACGTGTCTGATGCCGCCCCTTCTGGGACCAAAGGTGGTCCACGGCCACCACAGCTGGGACATGAAGGAGCCTGGGAGCCACGGTCGTGTGCCCCTGCCAGTGGAGAGAGGCGCTGGGCCATTCCAGCCACGCAGGCCACGTTCCACGGTGGATGCACCCCACTCCCCTGGAGCAGAACAGGCAGAGCCCTGGAGCAGCAGGAGGCTCCCAGCCCCTGCAGCCCACAGAAGGCGCCGCTGCTTGGGGACAACCCCCTCGCGCACCATGCCGGAACAGACCCTCCCCAAGAGCTCAAAGGGGGGGGGGGGAGGGCGTGTTCAGCAACACCAGCACGCACTCACAGCAGGGGGGGAAATGGGCCCTTTGCACTGTCAAAGCGCTTGCCTGAGCCCCCACCTGAGCCCAGGGAGGCGAGGCCACGATCACAAGTTTTCCTTAAAACTCAGACAACGGCGCCCGAACTGCAGCCCCCCCACCCCCACCCCACCCCCAATGCCAACCCCTGCTGGTTCTCCGCGGGCCCGATTGCGTCTGCTGCCTTCCTGGCCCTCAGCAAAAGATAACATCCAAGTTTGACCCTCTGAGTCTTTCAGTGGAAAAACGATAAGGGTCCTGTTGCAAGAAGGGAAAAAACCCACAGAAACCGAGACTCTCTTCCTTCTTTGTGGAAATTGCAAAAAAGTTTTTTTTTTAAATTTAGAAACAGCCCCCCCACCCCCCGCTCCTGCTCAAAGGTGCCTGTGCAGAGTTCAAAGGATTGTTTGAAGAGTCAAGTCACCTCCCCCATGGAAGCTCCATGTTGGAAACCTTCCCAGAGTAGCCCAGAGACCCCACCCAGCTGCCCCCTCGCCCCACTTGGGGTCCCAGGGGATTGTGCCCCACATGGGCCGAGCGGGATCCCCCGAGGGCGGGGGAGGAGGGTTGCCTTGCCGCAGGTTATGTAACCGCAGCCAAGAGGTAATTCAATCATCTTTACATAACTGCCGCCCTGCAGTGGCCTCGCCTTCGGTATCCAGAGAGGCCCCCGCAGGACGGCGGTTATATAACTGAGGATGGGAGGGAGGGAAGGGCGTCTGTGGTTGGCTCAAGGGCAGGATGCGGACTCTCCTGACCACCGGGAGCCTCTTGGCACCCTGCTTAGTCCTCCTCCTCCTCCTCCTCTTAAGAAGGAGGGAGCCCAAAGTTGACGGCCCCACCACAAATGAAGCAATCGGGCGGCTGAGCTCAGGGTCACCACAGGGCAGCCTGTGCCAACCGGGGTCTTGGTTCCAAGCCCGGAGGGCAGCGGGTGCAGGCCCAAAGAAAGTGCAAAGGTCCGGGCG